CGACGTGATTTCGACAGCCTTGCCCCTGGCTATATTTCAATTGGCTGGTCACATTCTAAGCTCCATGGCCACTGCACAAATCCCCGTATCTCTGGTCCATACCATCAAGGGCCTTTCACCTCTCTTCACAGTTCTAGCATACCGGTTCCTCTTTCGCATTCGATATGCGCGAGCAACCTATTTATCGCTGATCCCTCTGACCCTGGGTGTAATGCTTGCATGCTCGACCGGAGTGTCGACAAATTTCTTCGGTATTTTTTGCGCATTTGGTGCAGCTATTGTGTTTGTCTCGCAGAACATATTCTCGAAGAAGCTGTTCAACGAGGCAGACCGCGCAGAAGCAGATCTACAAACTCCGGGGCGGCGGAAGTTGGACAAACTCAACTTGCTTTGCTATTGCTCCGGGCTGGCTTTTTTTCTCACTCTGCCTATTTGGTTTGTCACCGAGGGTTACCCGCTAGTATCTGATTTCATTCATGATGGTGTGATCTCGTTATCGGGCAAGCAAGGCTCATTGGACCACGGTGCACTTTCCATTGAGTTTGTGTTTAACGGAGTCTCACACTTTGCCCAAAACATCCTGGCCTTTGTGTTGCTGTCAATGGTTTCTCCCGTGTCCTATTCGGTTGCATCCTTGGTCAAGCGTGTGTTTGTGATTGTGGTAGCGATTATATGGTTTGGGAGCTCGACCACCTCGATTCAAGCCTTTGGCATTGGCCTCACTTTCGTGGGCCTTTACCTTTACGATCGCAATAGCCATGATGATGTAGCTGACCAAAGGGCAAACACGGATCATTTCCGTGCTGAACAGTCCATTCTTCCAATGAATGTGCGGCACCCAAGCAAGCCATGGGATTCTAATGGCTATGCCTTCCCCGCGGGGAGAACGTTTGAAGCTGCCACCAACAACTCCCATGCAGCATCAAACTACTTCAAGAAAGAAGATGACAGGCCCGGACACATTCGACCAAGGGGGGCCAGTGTTTCTCGTACTTGGTTACCAGGGACCAAACAAGAATCCACTTGGCAGGTCAGTGATTCTCAAGCTGCAGCCTAGCATTTGTATTTTATTAGTTCGGTGTACAATATCATGACAGCGCGGTGTTGCTTAAAGAGCTCTTATATTACTATCCTTTCCCTGTGGTGTTTATTTTGTTTAGAACGTGTAGGCTATTCTTTTGAGCCACCCCAGATATATACCTTGGCTGCGTATGGGACACCCCAAAGTTCAGACTGCTACCCGTAGTCTCAATAAATGTGATCTAGCAATACGATGGGCAAACCCCAAAATTATGGCATGAATAGAATGATTTCATTGAAGTGTACTTTGTACAAAATTATCTATCAGGAGAATGATGTAGCTACCGTTGGTAAGGAACAAAGTCATAATTAGGCGAACCCTTGACAGCTCCAGCTACGGCGCAAATCTGCTCTTGGGACATGCTGTAGAGGAAATAGGAACAGGGAAATTACCTGCCTCCTACAATAAATGATGCCCGTAACAATTTAATTGAAGAAGAGAAAAGGAGAAAATGGGGGGAGAAAGGGCGGCTTATAAGGAAACTCGGAACGAATGTTTATCCGCATAACCGAGTCAATCGAGCCAATCCCCGTGAGCCCATTTGCCGTTGTCATTAGTCAGCAAACTGATGGTCAGCACTTCCATTATGTAACCTTGAAACCGCAGATTCCGATGCAAAGTGCTCTCTGAACTCCCAACCGTTACCAGGATCTCACCCCCTCGCCCTCCTCCACCTTTACCCCCACCCTCATATCTCTGTTCTCCTTCCAATGATGCGGCCGCAGCTGTTTCGTGCGGCCGCCCGGTCCCTCCGGGTTCCTAAGGTCACTCCCCGGACCTTCGCGACGACAGCCCCTCGCGCGGCCGAGGTGGAACTCACCATTGGTAAGTCCAATGCTGGTCTAGTCCATTTAAATTGATCGATAACTGATGGCTCGTCTCTCTAGATGGCAAAAAGGTGTCTGTAGAAGGTAGATACTCCCTCGAGCTAACTCATTGTCCCTTCACTCACATTCTCTCCCCAAAGCTGGCTCGGCTCTTATTCAGGCCTGTGAGCAGGCAGGCGCAACGGTTCCCAGGTATGACAATAATCCACCTATCCAATTTGCTTGCAGTACTAACATACACTAGATATTGTTATCACGAGTAGGTGTCTCTGATCGAATCACACATACTGTTTTTGCTAACACCAGTCCCTTAAGAAAACTTTTGGTTGCAGGAAACTGTACGTGCAACCCATACCATACCCCTATTCCACACCATCGAGACTTCTGTACTTACCGATACTATAGGTCGTATGTGCCTCGTCGAAGTCGAACGTGCCCCAAAGCCTGTGGCCTCATGTGCTTGGCCGGTACAACCCGGTATGGTGGTGAAGACGAATTCACCACTGGTCCACAAGGCAAGAGAGGGTGTCATGGAGTTCCTTCTCGCCAATCATCCCCTCGATTGTCCTGTCTGCGACCAAGGAGGAGAATGTGATCTCCAAGACCAGTCGATGCGTTACGGTGCCGATAGGGGTCGATTCCATGAAACCGGTGGAAAGCGTGCCGTGGAGGATAAAAACATCGGTCCACTGGTCAAGACCTCAATGAATCGATGCATTCACTGCACTCGTTGCGTCCGATTCATGAATGATGTCGCCGGTGCCCCAGAACTAGGAACCGCAGGTCGCGGAAACGACATGCAGATTGGAACCTACCTCGAGCAGAACCTCAACTCAGAACTCTCGGGCAATGTTATCGACCTTTGCCCCGTCGGTGCACTAACTTCGAAGCCCTACGCTTTCCGGGCACGTCCGTGGGAGCTCAAGCACACCGAATCGATCGATGTCCTTGACGCGCTTGGCTCTAACATCCGGATTGATAGCAGAGGTCTGGAAGTAATGCGGGTTGTCCCGCGATTGAATGACGATATTAACGAGGAATGGATCAATGACAAGTCGCGATTCGCATGCGATGGGTTGAAGACCCAGCGGCTCACAACTCCGCTCATTCGCCGGGAAGGCAAATTCGTTCCTGCCACTTGGGAACAGGCTCTAACGGAGATCTCATCGGCTCACCAGAAGCTTCAGCCACAGGCCAATGAGTTCAAGGCTGTTGCTGGACACTTGGTTGATACTGAGTCGCTCGTAGCCATGAAGGACCTGGCAAACAAGCTTGGCTCTGACAACCTCGCCCTGGATCAACCCGGCGGCGGTGCCCCCATCGCTCACGGTATCGATGTCCGTTCCAACTACCTGTTCAACTCCAAGATCTATGGAATCGAGGAGGCCGATGCAATCCTCTTGGTTGCAACCAACCCTCGTCACGAAGCCGCAGTTCTTAATGCCCGTATCCGCAAGCAGTATATTAGGTCTGATCTGGAGGTTGGACTTGTCGGCGAGGAGTTTGAAAGCACATTTGACTTCAACCATTTGGGCACTGATGTCTCTTCCTTGAAATCCGCTTTGTCCGGAGAATTTGGCAAGAAGCTTGCCGGAGCCAAACGGCCAATGATTATTGTCGGTAGTGCTGCTGCTGAGCACCCCGATGCCAAGGCTATCTTCGAGGCCGTCGGTGGTTTCGTTGAGAAGAATGCAAGCAACTTCATTACCTCTGAGTGGCAGGGCTATAATGTCCTCCAGCGTGCGGCGTCCCGGGCTGGTGCCTATGAAGTTGGCTTCACTACACCATCTTCCCAGGTTGCTCAGACTACCCCCAAGATGATGTGGCTTTTGGGCGCAGATGAGATTTCCCAAAGCGAGATCCCGAAGGATGCGTTTGTCATCTACCAGGGACACCATGGTGATCGCGGTGCTCAACTTGCTGATGTCGTTCTCCCGGGCGCTGCCTACACCGAGAAGTCAGGTACATACATCAACACAGAAGGTCGTGTGCAGGTTACCCGTGCTGCTACTTCTCTCCCCGGTGCAGCTCGTGATGACTGGAAGATCATCCGTGCCACTAGCGAGTTCCTCGGTGCTCCTCTTCCTTATGATGACATTGAGGCTCTTCGCGACCGCATGGAGGAGATCAGTCCTGTCATGCGTCATTACGACGTTGTTGAGCCGACCTCGGTTGGCTCGTTGAGCAAGGTCCAACTTGTGGACCAGAACCGGGGATCTCCAGCTACTGGGGCTCCTTTCAAGAAGGTGATCGAAGACTTCTTCTTCACTGACGCTATCTCCAGAAGGTGAACACCCTATTCCATCATTTATCATTAATCGATTTGCATTGCTAACTCTACTTTAGTTCGCCCACTATGGCTCGTGCCTCCGCTGCCAAGGCCACTGGAAACCCTGAGACCAATTTCATGGCCGCAGGAGAAATGTCTCCTCAGGCTTTGTATGGCTAGATCGGGTCTATTTTGACCTCATTCTGTGTTTCTCTAATGGTTGCAGGCGTTTTTATTGTACCACATCTTAAATTTCCCTCTTGATGTACTGTTTCCTTTCCATCCTCCGTGTTTTTCCCTATCATCTTGAACACCCTTCCGGTTCCTGTTGACCTCTTCGCCATTCTCCGGTGTCGCCTGGGATTAATCGGTAGTGGTTGCCTTGTACATAAAAGACTGAACCCCCAAAATTTCGAGTCCATGGGCGTCGGAGATGATAAATCTTGCTATTGTAATTTGGTGTGTAGTAGCTTTCGAAAGGCAAATCACACTACAAGATTCCTATAGTAAAAACGAAGTAGAATTATACCGAGACAAATGACTTTAGGAGAAACCCCCCTCCCCTTTTTATCCCAACGACAAGAACAGCGCAGGGAGGAAAAGGAAAGACAAGCCCAGATATATCCATCCATTATGAGATATGTTACAATATCCAGGAGTCAACGTCGCTTGGGCATATACATATATGTCTACAAGCCCAAGGAGTCAAGAGGAACTCTTAACCCCTAGGTCGATTGGGTGCTTTTCTGCATATACGTAATATGGAAACCGTATCTCGGTCCGTTCAACTATGTAATTTATCTGAGTCGTTCTGATGGCCAGTTTAGAGCTCGTCATCATCCGTCTCTCCCGCAGTTTCTTCGGCATCTTCGCTGGGCTGGGTTGGAGCAGTCCTCTTGATGGGCCCGCTAGTCCTTTTGGCAAATGGCAAATGTCTTTGAGGCGGCGCGGTGTCTCTCGCCGGAGAGGCCCGCTTCAACTGGGCGGGTTCATCCTGTGACGAATCGTCGTCCGTCGTGCTATTGTTTTGTTCGTCGTCCAAAGGATGAGGGGTCGAACGCTCTTCATCATCGGTGTCTTGATTGGTGGAGGGACCTTGATCAGTCTTTATTGGATCAATATCCATTTGTTCGAACTCATCAGAGTTGTCTGTGTCGCTCATCCTACGAGCACTTCTCTTTGCTGGATGAGATTTCTCAGCGGTTCCATGTGACTTTTCGGGGATGCTAGCTTGTATCTCAGAGACTGTCGATGTTTGGTTAGCCAAGATGTCTAGGTTTCTCGGTCTATGCCACCTACCTTTGGTAGCATCCACAGTGGCTGATGCCAGAAGACGTTGCTGGTTACGAATTTTGAGCTTTTTCTCGTTCAAGACTTGCACAAACTTGGCCACCAGTCGATTCTCATGCTCGGTTTTCGCATGCATCAGCTCCTCGAGTTGTTCATTCAGCCTATGTATGGTATCTTCGGCAAGGCGATAATGGGCAGTCAGGCTGGATACTTGCTGCTCTAGCATGTGAACTCTAGCCGCAGTGATTCCTGTCCATTCAAACAGCTCGACAGCTTGTTCATCGTCTTGTTTGAGGATAAAGGCACCAAGGCGTTGCTATATTAGCGTTAGTAAGAATATATATACATCCATGGATATAGACCGCCGGTGTGGAACACGAACTGTGATAGTTTGGACTCGCTTGCGTATCGTAATCACAATTTCCTTGTTTTCGTCAGAACCCGATATATTGGCCGAAGCCTCGAGGCCAGTGGCCCAATCCGGCTCATCCGGGGGGGCAGAACATTGTCCCAGAATGAGTGAGACTGTTTTAAACCATTCATCATCCGATCCTTGGTAGTTTTTGGCTTGAAGGTCCTTTAGGCGTGTTTGTTTCACTGCGCGACATGAGCTCATGACTTCCGACCTTCATTCTGGGACGACCCACCTGAGCTAACATAGGGTGATTCCCCCTCAGTAGCCGTCAGCCTCAGATCGAGCGGCGCAGGACTGGTGCACGAGACATGAACCAGTACAAAACCCCCAGTCTCGTCAGATCTGGGAAACCGCAAGATTCGGTCTGTCGAAATGGGAGATGACATATCTGGAAGAGTCAGGCAAAGAAAGGAAATTATAAAGAAAAGGGTACTCTAAATCGAAGTGAAATACTAATTGTCATATCTCAAGGCAGCATTCAAGTGAAACTCATATAAAGTGACAAGGTAGTCCCCACATATACAGTAAATGTGCAATGTAGCTTCACAATTTTGATGGCAATGTCAGAACAGAAACTATTATATACATAAGATAGCATTGACACATATTCAATATATGAATAGCCTACAAATGGTAAATACTGGACAATGTTCTGTTAATTACGTGTAATGACTGGGTATCACATACGGTATTACCTCAAAAAGTATGCAGTCTTGACTGAATATTCAGGTAAACTTGCCTACCTAGATACATTACCAGTACGGGCTGTCACGTTCTTCCTCTCCACGAGGAATTTGAGATCCAGCCACTACACTGCGTCTTTCCCCTGTCTCCTCTTTTTCTTTCCCAAAGTTCCTTTGATTCCTTGAATTCCCCCATCGAAGTGTCTTTGGATGTTCCCAATGGTACTTGTGAATGTTTATGGATGACCCGGCATTTATCAGGTCGCCTAGTGAACCCGCTTGGTCTCATTCGGCGAAATCGACTCTAGAGCGCGGCCGGCTTACATTGATCTGATTCCTCTAACCCGCCTTGCGAAATCCGAGCTCGTCACGCTACGATCAACGGTGAAACCGTACTCCTCACTCCGGTCTTTCGCCCCTACCAACCGACACGGAATGACGCTCATGTCCGCACCCCCTGAACCCTCACCAGTGTCGCAAAGCACTGAGTCTGCTGCTTAATCACAAATCACTTTCGGACGCCTGTAATCATCCCATGACATCTGTGTTCTCTGTACACCTTCAACCAATTCGCTTCGCCGATCATGGAATCTTTACCGATCCACCTACGACCCGGTACCGACGAGCCGATTGAATGCTGGGATGATGACGACGACTTGCAGTTCAGCGAAGATATTCACTTTCGCACCGCATCCAGTGCTGGGTCCATAACAAACTCGTCATTTCGGCCCTCTGGGCACCGAGATTCTATCTCCTCTCGCCGCTCTGCTCGCTCAGATATTGACTCTAATGCGGGTGACGAAGACTGGCAGGTCCCGCTCTATGATAATGATGAATTTGCAAAAGAAGATGCCATTGCCTCGGCCAAGACTGCGGGCATTCCCATTCCTCCAGATATCCCCAAGTCAGCTCTTATTGGGGGCACGATCAAGCGCTTGTCAACTCGAAAGACCAAGCAAACTTTTGTTGATGACTGGTCAGACGACGTTGAGCTCCCGGGTCCCGAAACCCTGCTGCAGCTCAAAACTCCCCAAGAAACATGGTTTCCTGACTCTCTTCGACATTTGAGCTCCGCTGCTACCAGTCCAGTGAAATCCACGGCCTCACCATCTTGGGGTGAGGAGTTCTCGACACGTGTGCAATCTACCTTGGGACCATTTGACACCTCCCAAGACGACAATGGTAGCCTAGAAGCTCGAGACATCCCAACCCTCAAAGCCCCTCGATCTCCGAAGAAATTGAACATTGGCAATGTTGGCAGTGGTTTCAATATTGAACAGGAAGCAGACGACTTCAACCAGGATTTTGAACTTCCTGCTAATCATCAGCCTCTCGAATTATCCCATCGAAAAGCGAATTTCTACGTTTCTAGTCCCACTTTGGAGGACTTTGATCTTGAGTGGTCCGAAGGAAGTATCGGCGTACGAGTTGGTGGTACCACAAGGGATGGTCGTTCGGCTCCCAGTTCTTCCATCTCCATCGCCAGCCCCAGCGTGTCAAGTTGTCTCACGGCGGAAAGTGAAGACGATGGCCTCGACGGTCTCGTCATTCCCGAAGGTCCGCTTGATTTCAGTGCTTCTCTGCAGAAGCGACAGACTGCGCAGGCTGAAAATGCCGAGGCGGAAGAGAGTGATCATATTCCTTCTGATGCCGAGGACTTCTTTTCTGGGATTGATATCGACAATGAGAAGGCTTTCTCCTTTGGAAAGCCCGCCCTGAATCCTAACATAAAGTGCAAGACAGAACGGCCATCCAGCCCGACTCGTCGATCTGCAACAACACTCACGTTCACCAGTGCGACAGGATCTCCACGAACTCGCATCCCACGCTTGTCTGGTCATGATCGAACCCATTCAACCCATCTTGAAACGGTGTCAGAAAGTGGTGCACCTCTTTCCAAATTCCGAACATCACAATCGCGTCTAGGGCATTCATCTCAGTCGTCAACTTCAAGTCTCCCAGCCCCTAGCGCCAATCCGACATCGCCGACTCCTACACTCTCTAGTCGACGGGTGCTCGGGTCTCGCAATTCCCGAGACACTGCCAAGGCCGGCGAGGGTACCCCTTCAGTCAGGCGTTTGAAGACCAAGCGATCCCTGCCATCGATTCGTGGCTTAGGCTCGGCCGCTTCAATGGCCGCTTCCCAGCGACCGGTCGATCGCCCGGTCCGCCTTCCCTCTGCCAGACCTAAAACACCGGTGGATCTCCCTGTAAGTGATGCGAGATCGCTGAATCGTAGACCACAGGTGCCATTTATGCCGGCTGGGGTATCGGAATCCCAATCACACCATGCCAGTGTGAAGGGGTATCGCTCGTCGCGTCGCACGAATTCAGATAGCTCTGGCGGGCTTCTTAGTCCGCAAGGCACAGTCTCCCGACTTTCCCGACCAACTCGCAATGAGCCGTTCCGTGCTGGGTTTGGCGACACAAGCGTCGACTCTCTCGGTTCTACAAAACGTACAATCACACGACCCAGTAAAAGACGCAACTTTGGGGATGGAACCGAGTTGGAGTCCTTTGACGATCTATCTACTTCGGTTCTGGCAGAGAGCAAGTTTGTTAAAACCCCCACCGGTCGAGGCGCTCCAAGGTCCATCCGCGCCCGGCTCAGCCAGAGCCGGATTGATCCCCATGATGCATCTCCCATTCAATCTTCGACGTCCCCATCGACCTCCAAATTACGCAGTCCGACACCTAGATTTGCGCGAGATACAAATGCCTCTAGAAATGCAAGGGAACAACGCATTGCATCCATGACTATTAACTTGAAAAACCGTGAACCAAATCCTCTTTCGACGTTCAACTCAAACTGGAAATCCCAACCCATCTCCAGGATTCCTCCGGCCTCTACAACGGTCAGAAGCCGGAAAGGTAAATCGAATGTCAAATCCACGTCCAAGCCGCACTTGATCAAGCCCATGGGGTCTGGAGTGCAGGATGCCAAATGTAAGCAAGACCGATCTCGACATGATTTGCTCAGGGCTCATTGTTAACTGTCTTTTTTTTTTTTTTTTTCATAGCTGTGAGAGGTATGCGTTACAACCCTACCAATTTCCGGTGGGAAGGAAATGAAAATTTGGTTCAGGAATTTGATGCCACTACTTCCAAATCCCCTAAACCTGCCCCGGCTCTTATCGCCAACGTGGGGGCGCAGAATGTCCAAACGGTTGGTGGAATGGTTTTTGATCCACATCGTATGTGTTGGCTCAGGGCATCTGAAAGTGCAGACGAAGATGTGTTTGCCGGTCTGGATGACTTGGATGAAAAAATCACCGGACGAACCTCTGCGTTTGAGGAAAGTGCCGGTGAATCCTCTGATGAAGGACCTATGACCGAGGAATTTGATGTCGGACCAGAATTCATTCGACGACAGCGGGCCGAGGAAGATAAGTGGAGACGCAAGGTTGCCAAATGGGTATTCGATCGCGAAAATCATTGGCAATGGATCATTCGTGATCTAGCCTTTGAATCATAGAACGAACTTTACGACTCCATGATTTTGTATGTTATGTAATATATGTTTAATCGGACTCGGGAATAAAACCGTCCGAATCTTGTCCGATTGTGTCTCACCTTCAACCAAACGTATGTTATCCTGTCGTCCCGTGTACTTTTTCTTTCTTTTTCTTTCTTTTCTTTTCTTTTCTTTTTTTTTTCTCACGGATACTCACTTGCGCCTAAAAAAAAAGAGGGAGAGATTTAGCCCTGTGGAACAACACAACATGGACAGGGATTGACTTCACACTTCAAATCTCGAGGGCCCAATTCTCTCTTCTCTTCAAGCTTGACTTCCCCATCCATGTTCCTTACCTTTTTGCACGGATACTTGCATGGACAAATCTGCCGGAATCTCCGACTTTGTTTGACGAAAGCAAACCTGCAGAAGTCCTCCCATTCAGGTCTAAGTATAGGAAAAATCGGGGAGATGATTTCGCCCCCCGCTGTACTTCTACTTCACCTCTACTGTCTCCGATAGGGTGCCTCGACTCTCTCCCACATCAACGTGGCTCTTGTGGCGACAGGAATCCGTATCACCCATTGCTGTGCGCTGTCGTATCAGCCTGCTTCCACTTTTTTACCGGGAATTGACCACGAACCCCAGTCCTTCTCGCTTTTCTTTACTTTTCTTTTTTTCCCCCCTTTCGTAACCTATGCTTCCCGTACCTTACAGACGCTCGACACGCCTGGCTCCATTCTTTCTTTTTCTCTGTGACATATTTGCTGTTCCTCTTCCAGGGATACCCTCTGTTGTCTCTTCACAACATGGTCTCGTGCACTTTCATCTTGGGCATCAGCCATGTCAGTCCTGCGCTGTTTGTCTTTTTAATAGAATTGCAACCCCCGTTTCCAGGGCCTTTTGTCAATTATTCCTCTTCTATATCTTCCACACTGTGCTTTTCTATACACAGTTTCTTTTTGTGATACTGTGTACCAGGGTACTGTGGCAATTCTTCGACTGCAAACGAGTTAGCCCAGTCTTCTGGATTTTCTTGTCTTTATGCTGGTCTTTTATATATATATATATATATATCTATCTTCTTGTTTGTTTGAAACAGATCGACGTGGGCTGAACAATAATCAACTGGCATTCAAAAACTCAGGCGTCAATTATGAGTAGCTTTGCAAGACGCAATGAAGGGAATGATGCTTATCTCATGAACCATCAAATGGCAGTGCCTGGCTACGGTCAGCCAGAGAGTCATGATTTCAAGCAAGAAAGCCATGACTTCAACACGCATGGATCTAGTTCATATCATTTCCTTCAGCATTCCTTCAACCCATACGGGTCTCAGTTTGGGCAGCCCTATGGCCCACAGTCGAGTCTGTCTCCGGGGTTGCAGCATTTGCAATATACATCGGAACATTCGATTCCATCGATGACAACCCCTGATGACCCCAGGTTACACCATCCGCCGCAGTTCATGTCCCAATCGCGCTACCTTCAAGGGCCAAGATATCTCCCCCGCGACCCGCTGGGTGAAACGGAGATTGAAAACCAGGAGTCTCATAACGAGGCTACATTGCTGTCAGAGGCTGTAGTGCCGGCACTCAGCGGCTTCCCTGATGTAAAGGAGTTTGATCAACTGATGCAGAAGTGAGTGATCCGTGATCAACCATATGAACCGGAAGCTAATATATCTCACCATCTCAGTTATGTGGAGGACCTGTCCATCAAGAAGCAAGACAAGGCATTGATCTATGCGAAAAGAGCCCGTAACATCAGAACTGTATTGATTGACCCCAAAGATACGGCGGTGGAGTCGGCTCAGTTTCGGTATGGATCTCTTTGAGTCAATCAATTGCCTGCCTTGCTAAACAAACCAGGTTTTGGGTCAAGAAGATGTTCAAACTTCAAGCTGTGGGATCGGATGTATGTATTGCGTGTCCTGGTGGAGATGATTAATGCTGATGGGGCGATTTGTTGCGATATAAAGCATAGGAAGATGATCTGTCACGAGGGAAAGCCGGTTGCAATTCGGGAGAAATTGTTCAAAATCCTCACTAAGGCCCATCAGCAATGCCAGCATGGTGGTCGAGACAAGACATCTGCTCAAGTCCGGCGGATCTATTCATGGTGAGAAACTCTGAGAGTCGAGTTTTATATATATATATATATACACACATGACGTGTCTGACCCACAGCCACTGACTATCTCGCCTTAGGGTTCCCAAGGAATTGATCTCCCGCTTCGTTAAGATCTGCCCAACCTGCCAGGTGCGCCGTGGGGGTTCACGCCTGACGCCACCCAATTCGCGAAGAAGCTCCCCCAGGCTGGAGATGGTCTCTCGACCCCCCAAACTCCCATCGCCGCCAATTTCGCGACGAGAATCGACGTTTGCTGGTCAAATGCCCCTTGACAGGACGCAAGCGGACTATTTTGGCCATTTGCACGCTCACGGTGGCTGGCTAGATAGTCATCAAAATGTGCAAGGTCGCTCAAATATAGGCAATGGAGTTCGGTCGTTCCAGGGTCCCATGGGCAATCTCTCACACTCAATTGCTGGGACCTTGGATCCCTTCTCCACCGATCTATCCATCCCTCCGTCCCAGCTGAGTTACACAGCGGGATATGTGTCGACACACGGGGCTGCGCCCCAGCGAGAGTTTTGATTGTTTTCTCTGGTCAACTTGTGTGGATGTTGCTTTTTGATTTTATCGGAGTACACTAAGTGTGCTCCCCAAAAGTATACCCTGTGAGAAGACTCTAGATCGTTTTATGCTTCCATGTCAATCAACAAGTCCGATAGGTGGCATGCACGAACATGGCGAGAAGTTGATCCCCATCCATTATGGGACTTTAAGTGTACGAGAAAACAAAGGGATGTTAATAGTGAATCAAGGGAAGGGAGGAATTCGGAATAAAACTGGAAACATAAAAAAAAAAAGCACTCTCCCAAACAAAATAAAAAATAATACCCTTGAATTTTAAATCTGGAAACATGATCCTAAGTATACAACATAGGCTATGTAGTAGTGTGAATGGTAGACCAGATGACCCAAAAGTATAGAAATTTTGACCAAGTTGAAGAGAATTTCCTTTCTCTGATCGGCACTATGGAACAAAGCAATCAGATATGGACATGGTCCATGATCGTGTTCAACATTCGATAGTCAACTGTGGGTTTATCTGAGCCTCATGTGACCATTCCTAAGTGCATACAGATTGGCGACATTTCAACATTAATTCATAGCAACCCCTAACGGGAGTTTTGAGGGGTGTTGCATGGGTTCAAGGCACTTGGTGCTCGTGAGACAGGCGATCACAGTGTTCCAGGTAAGTATACAAGGAACGAGTGGTTTGGTTTCAAAATTCCATCTCGGAACCTTGGAAGATCCAAGATATCATCAATTCCTCGACTCATTCAAAAAGAAGAAAAATGGATCCTAAACAGGAAGCGAGAACTTCTTGCCCTTCAAGACCCTGGGAAAAAAAAAAAGTGCAAATGTCAGTGTCCACAGGTCTGTATATATATATAAAAGTTTGAGTGAATCGGGCTTACTTGTTGTAGTAAATGTAAAAGAAATCAGAGTAAAGCAATGTTTGGATGATTCCAGCGATAATGGTCACAGGCTGGAAGGAACGTTGGAAGGAGGCTTCGGTGAAATAGCGGAAGACCCAGTTCGGGATGTAGAGTGCCCTATAGAGCCCCAGGGCAAACAGATAGTGTGTAGTGATAGTGTCTGCCTCCCCAGTTCGTTGCAGCATGAATAGTTGTGGCAATATGGCAACCGACTCTAACCATATAGAAAAAGTCCAGAGTATCTACATGACGTTAGTCCGGATCTTTCCACTTCATAGACTGGGCGTTCAACCAACCTCTGAGATGCGATAATCGCGTGGAAATAGAATCGCGAGCACCGCGCTAATCCCGAGGAGGTATTGAACCTTAAAAGTATCGATGTTGGGATCATGTGTGGGCTTGTAGTCGTTGAGCATGAGGTAGATGACGTAGGCCGAGGAACCGATAAACAGAAGCTTGAAGGTGGTGAGGTACCGAGACTCGGTGAACGTCCAGAAAAGATCTAGAAGGTGCATGAGCGATTTTGATGAACATAAAGCCAACAGTGACATCGAAACCTACCGAGATACCGAGTGACAAAAACGAGAAGGTATAGTACCTGCGATTTGAACGACAACCCGGAACAACTCTGCGATCTACCATTAGTTGCAAGTCATGTGTGGCTTTTATGGACATGAGCACATACACCTGACATCTTCATCTTCCGCAGAAGCATGAAGATCGACGCCAGATGAGAGAAGTCGGCTGCAATCAAACGTTAGTATACCGCGTTGGTTTCCATTGGTTGTTATGTCGTACCTAATAACCTGAAGATATTCATAATGCCGGTGACGGATCTCAGTTAGCAGTGTGGGTGATCTAAGCCGAGATAGAGAAAGAGAGAGAAGGGGAGAGGAGAAGGGGGCGGCGAGATTGAGAATTGGTAGGAGTTTCGACCAAAACAGCAGAGTTGTTGACACGAAGGCAGAAAAATCGAAGGGGAACTTAAATTACTTGCAGATCAGGTACGAGAGGTACATGTACATACACGCGGTGTACATACCGTACACATACATACGACATACCTTGAAATTTGTATGTGGAATAGCCAATGAACATTTATACTTACTGGTACATTTTGCAAAGTACCAAATGCGTGTATTTTAGTTACGAAAATACTTTGCCTGAAGTAGATTATTGTATCTAAATGATCTAGCATATCCCCTAGTATGCTATTATATAGACACCTTGCATTATATCTCGATATGTATATCAAATTTAAACATTGCATCGATCAGATATTTACTTTATATGTGCACCCCGGAGTGCATAATGTCGTCAAATCATTATATTGATACAACCCTGGAAAAATACAAATTATAATCGCTACTTAGACCTCCCCAATACCTTGACAAAACCAGACATGACCAGATGAAACGCCGAGACCAATTGCCATTCCAGAACAAACATGTACATTGGCCTCGCTAGAACAGATTTCCGCCTCCAATGCTCTCATCGGCCATTCGCTGGAGATGGCCTTCAGCTAGCTCGCTCTTAAGAGCGCAGATTGAGCTTTCGCGATCGAGTCGATCCCAGTCTCGAAGTTCCGCTCGTTTAGACCTCTGGGTCTCTGCGATCTGCTCAAGGAGTTTTTCCTTGTCAATATCGAGCTGAGCCAGTCGCTTCTCCACGGCAGGATCCAGAAGCGACGGAAGACTCCGACCTTCCGGTATAATAGTACATAGCCCCGCAAGATGGTTTATACCCCTCTGAGCCAATGGTTGAGTTACAGATGGAGTGCTGGGTTGCCGGGAAGTCGGAAGTCGGTAACTGCCACCTGGTACGGGTGATGAAAAAGATGCACGAGGACCTGCTGGTGGGGCTTGCGAAGGTGTAGCAGGTCCGCGGCGTACAGGTGGAGACCCCGTCCAAGTTTCACGTGGGCCAGGTCCGCGGCGAGGACGAGTTGGCGCTGACAGTAAAGAGACATGCGGAGGACCCCGATGCTGATTAGATGGCGGTCTCGGTCCTTGATAAGGCCCTGACGGTGGTAGCGGAACTAGGCTGGCACCGTGGTTTTTGGGTTGAGTTGGGATGTTGCCACCAACCCTGGTCCCGCTTGTGTGAGATTCCACAGTTGCATTTTCTGAAATCGAAAAAGGCGAATGATTACCAACCGATACCCGATCCTCACGATCCGGCCGTTGCTGTTGGTGAGAGGGCCCCGTATCGTAGATCTGATCCCTGTAGGGTGATCGCCCTGAGGATTTGGATGAACGTTGGAAGGGTGCCGGAGAGCGAATCGGTGACCGATTACGAGCTGTGTGGGAAACCACAACAGGCTTTTCCATAGCCGGCGACGAACGTCGAGACATCGGGGCGGGTTGTGAGGCCAAGGCTTGTGCAGGTGAAACATGTCTTGGTGGCGACAAAGTATGATCTCGTTTCGCCGCGTCACGGATGTGGCCTCGATGCGAGGCATTGATTGGGCTTTGTGGCAATAAGACTTCCGCTTGTACTCTTGGCGAGGAAGCTCTGGGGGGTTTGTCAATATTCAAGACAGCAGGGCCGTCTCGTCTCGCGGATCGGAAACCCTGGCTGCTAGGAGTTGTATCGCGTGTTCGTCTAGGGCTGTTGCGAGCACGAGATGCGTTCCGTGATCTGCCATCACTGTAGGGCGATTTTGAGCGCCATTTTTGGGGCGGTGATCTGACCCTTTCATCTCTTCTGGGCGAGAATCTTCTTGGTGGAGATCGTCTTCTTTCATAGGGGGCTGGTCCAAAGTTTCTCCCTGGAGGAGTACGTGAGCGGCGCCGATATGGTGGTGGTGACCGACTTCGTATGCGCCCATACCCTCTATTTGATGACGGTACCCAAGTGTCGGCTCGTGGTCGAGGAGGGCTTCGGGTGCGTGGTGGCGAACGCCGGTGACGAATTTCATACCCCCGAGAAGGGGAACGACCGCTTCTCTCAGCTGGACGATAACTTTCTCCACCTCGTCGTTCATCAAATCTAGGGAAATACTTAGATACTGTCTGCCTTTAAACGTCTTGATGTGCCTACAAACCTTCTGCGATCCCAGTCCATTCTGGCAATGAGAATAAGGGATATTAGAGGCGGTGGGATGAGGTTCAAAGTACTCTGGTGTGTAAATAGAAGGCAGAGCACAGGAACACACAATTACCCAGTGCTACTTCTCCGTCTCCTGGGGGGGGAGAGTGAAAGTATGTCAAAGAATTGAAGGGTCGAAATGTGGTAGATGAGAGGACTAAGCTAAACCCTTTTGGGAATCCATTCCTGGGACTGTGGACCTCGATACATCGATGTATGTACGCATATACAACAAGAGCCAATCTATGCTCACCGAATATTGATACAGATCATGGATTATTTAATAAGGCGTTGTTTCAAAACTAACCGTACATTACAGGCCAAAGACCTTTCTTACCACCTAGAGTGTAAGCAGCCAAACTCCAATCCTCATCATGATGCACGCTGGGGGAACCCAAAAGGAACAAGATAGGGGGAAAAAATACAATGAAAGAAACGTCTTTAATGCTTCCCTCGTCTCTCCTCTTCCTTTCGCAATCTTTTGCGGCTCTCTTGTGCAATCATGTCACTTAAATCCTCCTGGAAACCCCAGTTCGGTGGGTTTTGCTGCTGTCTCTGTGACTCATACATGCTCTGGAGGCTCTCTTTGCTGAGACCATCGCCAGATTGGATTGCATCCAAGTTGACAGACACTTCAACATCCCCAGGCTTCTTGCGCTTCCTGGTTTGGTCATCTGCACCAAGAACAGGAGGCTTGCCTGTTGATCCGCTGAGATCGTAGGCCCTATCACCCCCGAAAAAGCCTTCCACGTTCGTTTGCCTCTCGGGGATGACCTGGTAAGCACTCCGAGGGTGAACGGATTCCTCCGTGTCGGTACCGCGATGGTGTTTGCGCACATCAAACTCCCCAGAAACATTCTCAGCGCCAACAAATTCAGATGGTACTGCTGAATCTATCCCACTTGGGGTTTCCATGCCACTAGGAGAATGAGCACCTGTACCCGCATCATCTTCGTCGCTTTCTTCTTCCTGTTCATCCTCGTCCTCTGCTTCACTCTCCTCTTCTGACTCTTCCGATTCATGTAATTCTCCCCAAAGCTCTTTTTCGATCGGCTCTCCTTGCTGGGCATGTTGCTGAGGTTGTAAAACGCCGAAGATATCGCCTCCGAATAATGGGCGGTTGTGTTCATCGACTGGTGGCTTGCCATACCCTCCAGGATGATAACCCCACGACGCACCAGGCGGAGGCGGCGCATTGAGACCGGGAATTTTCAACGCGGGATAGGAAGACGGGGGACCATATCGCTGCTGATTGACGAGCCACGGCGGAGGGGCTCCTGGGGCCATACCAAGAGCGTCCCTTAAATCATCGCTCAGTTCACCAGGTCGGAGGTGCTTGAGATTGGTCTCGTATTCTTTGCCCTCATAGTAGATCTCGCCGTAGCGAGTCAGCTCTGGCTTAGTTTGAAAGCGGAAAAATGCCTCGTAAAGCTTCTGGTAATCAATGTCCAGCTTGCCCATCTTTGGCTGCACTCTTTCCCTTTGCTTCTGTTTCAAACTTGACTGTTCTTGCTTCTCTAAAGCGGCGTCGCGCATTTCAGATATTCCCGTCTCCTGTATAAATTTAGGGAGAGCAAACGGCGCCTTCTCCACTCCACGTTTGGATGAGAGATACTCTCGCTTGAGCGACCAGTGAGAGGGGACCGGGACCACATTGCGATGGGCTTTAATGTGAACGAGAAGTCGAGGATCAGGGGCGGATGTATCTGTCCATTCAACAATTTCAGGCTTTCGTACCATTGCTTTGAGTTCAGCAACGGATAGCTTGTTCATTTCTTTCCGCTTCTTTTTTGAAATCTTGGGCTCACTCTCTTGCTCTTCGTCGGGTATTTCATCACCGTCGTCAAAGAAGACCTCAGGTTTATCGGACTCCTTCGTTGGTGAATTTTCGTTCAGTGTCTCGTCAAATTTTCCAGCAACACCTTTGTACATCTCCCATAGCGGATCGGTTGGCTCGGGAAGCAGATCAGTGTCGGTATCAGCTGATGCATCCTGAGAAGTAGCCACTGGCAGAGGTGACAGTTCGCGTGATACAGTGTTGTCAATGGGAACGTTTGTAGTCTTTGCAGTAGTGTCAGCTTTGCATCGGCTATGGCTTAGAGACTTCGAGAAATATATATGCCTTACCTCGGCTTTATGGGCCTTCTTCTTCGCTCTTCTGAGCTGGTTCTTGCTTAATTTCATGGTTGCCGGAAGGTTTGGTAGCCGCTCAATCAAGGTGATGTATTGTAGAAATTGAAATGGATATGGCACAAACAGCTTGGTTCAAGTGCGTGCAATGATAAATTTAGATAGCGACAGACGATGAAGTGGGCGGACAAGGTTAAAAACCGAATATATTGCAACTCAATTGTCATCACGTGAATAAAGCTACAATGGCTTACCGCCTGTATTTTGCCACACTGCATACCGCCTACATCACCAGGGGTTGGAAGCCTTCCTAGTGTACATTATTGTACATAGATATATTTGATGCAAGTCTTTTTTAATAGAATTTTCGGTGTTTTTCCAATACACTACTAAAATGGGATCCAAAAGAAAAGAAAAGAAAAATAATGTGTTATTGTACAAAATGTGAAACAAAATGAGCTGTGTACCCGATGGTGAAGACTATCAGCGAAGATAACGAATAAACCCGAAGGCAATTTTCACCCAAGGCGAAAGGTCTAAGCAGCTTTTTGATGCCGTAAGTCACCAGTCCGGCCAGATCACAGTGAAATAATCCGGATATACAATAGTTGCCAGTGTTGATGTGAGTGGTCCAATGTTGAGCTCGGCAAAACCTAGAAGGTTAGACAGACAGTCTATTTCTTCTTCTTTGCGGACCTCGATTCTGTTCGGGTATTAGATCTTGATCCCAGTATGAAACCATTGGGTGTAGGGGAAATTACCTGCAGCAGTTCGTTTCTTCTTCGGTCGACCCTTCCCTCGCAATTTGGCACTGTGATTCAGATGTTTAGCGGGAGCCCATTTTGATGTGATGTGGATAACGGTTCTTACATCTGAATAGCTTCTTCCCTGTCATCTTCGGCTTCGTCAAATGTCGTCAATCCAAGAGGCTTATAAGTATTTTGTAAATCCTGGAAAGACACAGTCTTCTTTGGGTACCAGGCTGCAAGCGCTGGTCCACGCAGGCGCTGTCTCAAGACCTTGTTGCCCAGTCGAAGCCGTTGTGGGTTGAAATTAAGAGAGAATACGCGGCATTGGGTCTAGAGAATTGCAAATTAGTGGGTGCCAGCACATACAACGGAAAGTGTGGTTGAACCTTCACTAGATCCAATATCCGACTTGACGCCATTTTCCTTTGTTAGAGGTTCAGAAGAATCATATGCAAAGAGAAATTTGCGAAGCAGCTGTTCACAGCAGCTCGGTAGACAGATGTTAGGGAGATACCAACTGAAGTTTGTCAGTAGTCATGTGACCTCCCGGAGTATACCGCCTACATATCATTCATGTGTTTTACTTCGGATAGGAAGCAAAAAAAAAAAAAAAAAAAAAAAGGGCAAAGCTGGACTGCGACTGAACAGTACTTACACCAATTGGCATGCCTCAAGACAATGAAATAGCAGATTCAGCAGGCTTAAAAGGCCCAGTGGTAGATCTGAAAAGATCGTCATCTGTCTTCGGGTCAGATGCCACACTAAACTCACAAAAGCGGCTGAAGGTGAATATCGTATTCTCGTCCCACTGGGTGAACATCCGTTCGTTTAAGTAACTTACTGACGCCTACTTGCATAAAGGTTCAACAATCAAGTCGACCATCGGACACTAAGTTCTCTAGTGGTGTCAGTCACGGCATGGCCAAGTCCAGCAACAATTCTCGTCTTCTTTTTCTACAGCACCTTGTTCGAGAAATTTCAACCGGTACTGATCTCGCCGGTGCTGACTCAGAGGTTGTGGACGCGATTTTGAGGCTGGATGACACATTTTGTGGGACAAAGAACCAATTACCTTGCAGAGATTCTTCCATGGCTGGTGAGGTCCCAAAATCACACCACCCAGATCACAGTTCCAAGCTGGTCAGTGGATCGCGTGACCCTAAGCTACCCCCGATCAGTGATGACAAGCTGGAACTTGCTGTCTTTACCCATCCAGCTCTTAGCAACAATAACAACACAACCTACGACCGACTCGAGATTCTAGGCGATGCATACATTGAGCTGATTGCAACCAAACTCGTCTGGGAGATATTTCCAGATTTACCAGCAGGTCGAATATCACAGATTCGGGAGATCCTTGTTAAGAACGAGACACTTTCGGGCTTTGCAGAAAGATTTGGTTTGGACCGCAGGGTTTCTGTGCCACCAAACTACAATACCCCGTCAAAGCGATGGACTAAAACAAAGGGTGACGTCTTCGAAGCCTACGTCGCGGCAGTCATACTATCCGATCCTGTTTGTGGCTACGAAGTAGCCGAGCATTGGCTAGCAGGTTTATGGGTGCCGATTCTCAAGAACCTGGGGCACCAGAAAGGGGAGTTACGCTCCAAGGAGGCTCTTGCTAGGAAGATCATGGGGAAAAGCGTCAAGCTTGAATACCTCGAGGAGCGTCCATCAATTCAACAGAAGGGTGGCACACAGACTTTCTTCGTGGCGTTATATCTCACAGGATGGGGATGGAATAAAAGGTTTCTGGGTTCCGGTCAGGGTTTGAGTAAAGCAGCTGCAGGTGATGAAGCAGCGAAAAAGACATTGCTGAATACGTCCCTGATTCTTGAAATCATGTCAGCAAAGGAATCATGGGAGTCTAACTCTTAAAAATCTTGGTCATATGCCTGTCGCGATCGATCGAGTCAGTGTCTTCTCGACGTCACATTTCCAATTGAAGAAAATACCACCCATATTGATACATCCGTGCATATCTGTGCATTCTACTTGTATCCTAATGGGTATGCCGGCTAGGTAGCGGTTTTATAGTACAACCGGCCGGTTTAATTTTTTTTCTAAAAAATACAGACCCTCGTCATATGAAACCGATCACCTAAAAGAAACTATACGTTTTACTAAGGAGACTATGTAAGAAATATATGTAAATAGTTAACTAGTTATTTTTCCTAATAATATTATATAGGGACGGTGAGATTCTGTAAGGGGGTTCTTAAGACATAAATTATTAAACTATATACCGGTTTATAGGCTTCCGTATAACCTAACCGGACCCGGACCTAACCCAGGTTTAGGTCGGGTCTGGGCCTAAAATCTCGACCTAGCGCTGGGTTCTGAGTTACTACCCTAGTACCCTTAACCTAGACCTAGCATAAACCTAGGCTGTTACGAGCCAGTTCTTTAAACAAAAAGAGTGCATTCATACAGAGGGGGAAAGAAAGGAAAGGAAAGCATTGGTGGAATGACAGGATTTGTGGGTCCCTGCCCTCAGCAGTGTAAACCATGTAAATAAACGACCTACTCGCTTAAGATAATAACCTAAAGAAGAAAGAACTAACACGGTTAGGAACGGCAGAATACTTAGATCGTCACATACTCCCCGACTAAAATTATATTTAGTCTCTGGATGCCGGTTTATCATCGTCACTATGGTCCTCGATAACTCGGTCTTTATAACGGATAAAGATCCTTACAACGCGGAGACGGAGTCACCTGACTGCATCGGTCGGGTATCGGGAATGAATCGCTAAGGGATCGTCACATGGCCCCCACGTGAACATAGCGACACATATAGTATAGGATTCCCTGAATCCCCGTTTCCTTTGGTAAGAATTAGTCTTAGCAAACATAGATAATACATTCCCTTTCCCCCTAAGTCATTATATCTTACCCGGTTAGTAGGCCTTATACCTAAAAACTATATACTCTTATAATTCCAATTCTTCTTTAACTACCTAGGATATAATGCCTCCCCGCCGTAGTACTAGGAGACTATACTAAGACTGCTAGGTATCTATCTTAGATCAGTGATAGATCGGCATGAATTGTTAAAAGCTAGGAGACCAACCACCCTAAGTCTTAAACCTTATAGGAGATATAGACTCTAAAAGGGTTAGAGGAACGGAGGAAATTTTTAAGGCTATATAAGAGACTATCCGAAAGCTTATTAAAAAGGTAGAGCTGTAATAAAGGATTATTATAGCTAAGAAATTAATTATAGAAAATAAATACAAGATCTAAGGGTCTAACTAAATATAAATTATAAATTAAGTAACGTATTTCACCACCGAGTGGTCCACACCCCCGAGTGGTCCAACCCACCCAAAACGCGTCCATCAATTAGCACTTAACCAACTCAGCCACCCACCATGCCACCAATTCGCTCTCAAAGCTCTCGAAATTTAATAGAGTAGGAGGGGGGGATCTTATTAGCTGTTTAGGCCTTTAAAAACCAAGAGATCCCCTCTATTTACGAAGCTGCACGTCGATTTAAAGTTCTAAAGTTAACTCTTCTCCGTCGTCTAAAGAATACCCCTAACCGCGCGACTTCACGCGCTAATTATAAGAACTTAATAGAAGTTAAAGAGGAATCTCTTTAAAAATGGATTATCTCTATGGATTCTCGTGGAGTGGCCCCTCACCCTTCTACTATTCGAGAAACAGCGAATCTTCTTCTTAAATAGCGTATAACTACCCCTATTATTTCGGTCGGCGAAAATTAGGTTATAAAATTTATAAAAAGGCGTCCTCTTATCTCCTCCCGATTCTTAAAACGCTATAATCACGAGCGCGCGAAATATAAAGATTTAAAAATCATGTAAGAGTGGTTCGATATTATTTAAAAAATAATGCTTTAATTTAGAATCGACCCCGATAATATTTATAACTTCGACGAGACCGGTTTCGCGATAGGGTTAATCGCTATAGCGAAGGTGATCACGAGGAGTGATCTCCCTAGTCGGCGCTCGCTTCTATAGCCTAGAAATCGTGAATAGGTGACTATTATTAAGTGTACGAATGCTTTAGGTAGGCCCTCCCTCTATATATGATTTTTAAAGATAAAGCCTTCCTCGAATCTTGGTTCGACGACCTTCCGGATAACTAGCGATTTAAAGTTAGTCCGAACGGTTAGGCCACTAATAAAATTAGACTTCGCTAGCTTAAAAAGCTCTTTATTTTATTGCCTCTCGATATTAGCTATTTTACGGTATTAAAACGATCATATAGTCGGCTAGTTAAGATAAAAATAAGACGCGGGATTAATTATATTAATAAATTTAACTTCCTCGAAGCGTACCCCCCTCGCACGAATTAAAGCCTTTAAATCGGAGACTATTAAAAGTAGCTTCGGAGTAGCTACTTTAGTCCCTCTTATACCTAATCGAGTGATCTCGAAGCTTAATATTTATCTTCGAACCCCTACCCCCCCCCCCCCCCCTCTAAGTAGGGGGAGCGAATTAAGTCGAAATTTTACACTAAAAACCCTAGCTATAGAGAAAGGACTACGTTAATAGGCTTCGTTAATTAAAGCTTTACTTCGTATAAGATCTTAAAGTCTACCTAACGTATTTCACCACCGAGTGGCCACCCTAACCCTACATATTAAATTTAAATGCATTTTTCTTAACCAAAACTCCATTAAATTAATTTAACTAACTAATTAGTCTATCTGGACATGTTTCTCTTCTATGCCCTGGTAATCTGCATATTCCACATCCCCGGGGGGGCTTTGTACGTGGTTATAAACCCGATTCTCTAGGTATGCCGGCGGCGGGGGAAGGTGCTTCAGTTACTTCTAGTTACTGCATAATTAATGCAGATGCTTCTTAAACTGAGAGGCCTTCTTCGGTGGGTATCTGCCTTCGGGATCGAGTGCGCTTTTACTTCTGCTTCTCGTTAGCGGCGCGTAAATCGCTTACTTCTTTCTTAAGAAGTGCGGCGGATTATATAGTGATCTGGCACGCCTTTAAAACCTAGTTTATAGCGGAATTAAGAGGACTTAGAGGGCTCCTTAATCTTATACGAAGTAATGCTTTAATTAACGAAGCTTATTTTTATAATTAGACGTAGTTCGAAGGGGTTTTTAGGTCCTAATCACTACCCCGGCTCGGAGGGGGGGTCGGGGTTCGAAGACGAATATTAAGCTTTAAAATCACTCGATCGGGTATAAAAGGTATTAAACCAGCTGCTCCGAAGCTATTTTTAATAGTCTCTGATTTAAAAGCTTTAATTCGTATAAGTGGGTATACTTCGAGGAAGTTAAGTTTATCGACATGATTTATCCCACTCCGCATTTTAAATTTAATAAACCGACCGTACGCACGTTTTAGTACCGTAAAATAGCCGATATCGAGAGGTTATAAAAGGTGAGAGGAATGCGGAGGCATATAAATTAGTATAATACCATTTTATTCGTAGATTTCGTCGAACTTCGGTGTTAAATGGCTTCCGTGACCGTCGAGTACTAGAAGCCGATACCTCCCCTTCGTATGCGAAGAAGTCGAAGGAATAAAGAGCTTTTCGAGCTAACGAAGTCTAATTTTATCCGAAGTCTAACCGTTAGGGCTTACTTTAAAGCGCTAGTCATTCGGGACGCTTTTAAACTAAGATTCGAGGAAGACTTTACCTTTAAAAATCACACACGGAGGAAGCACCTAGCCAGAAGCACCCGTATATTTAATTACTATCACCCACTAGCGAGTTCTAGGTTATAAAGTCTTACGCCGACCGGTTATATCACTTCTCGTAATAACCTTCGCGGTCGCGGTTAATCCTAACGCGAAACCGGTCTCGTTAAAGTTATAAACGTTATCGGGGTCGATTCTAAATTAAAGGATCGTCTTTTAAACTAGATTAAACCACTCCCTAATGATTTTAGGGTCTTCGCATTTCGCACGCTTATAATTATACCGTTTCGAGAATCGGGAGGAGAGGAGAGAATATCGTTTTACGAATTTCATAACCTAATTTTCGCCGACCGAAAGAACCGGGGTAGTTCCACGTTATTAAAGAAGATCCGCTATTTCTCGTACGGAAGAGGGCCGGGGGGCTACTCTATAAGAATCCATAGAGATAATCCATTTTTTAAGAGATTCCTCTTTAAGTTCTGTTAATTTATGCGAATTAGCGCGAGAAGTCGCGCGGTCTTAGACGCCGCTAAGGCGGCGGCGGAGAGTTAAACGCGGCACATTAAAAGTGCGAGCAGCGAGAGTAATATTACTGATATCTCCATTTTTAAAAGCCTAGATAGCTAATAAAAGCCTACCCTCTTACTTAATTAAATTTTTCGAGCTTTAGGAGCGAATTAGTGGCATAGTGGGTGGTTAAAGAAGAAGGGATTAAATTAATTAACGCGTTTTGGGTGGGGTGGCCACTCGGTGGTGAAATACGTTAACCTATTAAATCATACATTAATCTAACTTATAAAAGGCTTCTAGCTTATAATGCATAACGCTATTTTACTAGCGAAAGAAGATAAGGAATTACGCGCCGCTAATAAGAAGCAGAAGTAAAAGCAGGCTAGATCATGAAGGCATATACCCCCCGAAGAAGGTCTCTTAGTGGAAGAAGCCTCTGCATTAATTATACAGTAATAGGAAGTAGGTGAAGCACCTCCCCCGGGTCCTAGTATACCTAGAGAATCGGCTATTCAGCCACGTACGCCCCCCCCCCCCCCCCCCCGGGGGGTGTGGAATATGTAGGTTACTAGGGCATAGAAGAGAAATATGTCTAGATAGACTAATTTCTAGTTAAACTAATATAACGGCGTTTTAGTTAAAATAAATGCATTTAAAATTAATGGGTTAGGATAAGTGGCCGGGCCGCTCATGAAATACGTTAATAGAATAGCTCGGCTAATTCTATAGTGTCTA